AGCGACCATCTTGCACTTTCCTGAGCAACGTGGTATCTTTCTCAGGGAGTATGCCAGCAATATGTACTCTACCATCCCTTATACGATCGCCAAGATGATGGTTGAGTTCCCATTATCTCTTCTCGACTCCATTGTACAAGTCCTCATTGCGTACTATATGATGAACTTTCAAGGCAGCATATTCTATTGGTTCCTCATATCGTGGGTTATGAATGTTTCTTCGGTCTCCTTAGCACAGATGGTAGGAGCCGCTGTCAATTCGGGTGCCCAAGCCATTCAGTTGATCCCCTTGCTTTTTGTTCCACAGACGGTCTTTTCTGGGTTGTTCACTAGCATCAGTAATATCCCAGTCTGGCTACGATGGGTTCAATGGCTGTGTGCTTTGAAGTATGGTGTCAATTTAGCCTTCTTTACCGAATTCGGTTTTGATTACACCCGACTAGCCGAAATCAATGATTCCAAGTCTGATCTGGTCGGGCTTGATATTGGTGTTCTGCTGGGACTCATTGTTGTTCTCCGTATTGGCACCAATATCGTTCTGAAGAGAAAGGCTAGGTACGTCTTCTAAGCCATTTTTCTATACAAGTCGGGTTTAAAAGAGTTTGAGTCGAAGTCACTCTATTGGGGAGTTCTTGATAGGGATGAGTAGGAGTCATGACCCGGGTGCCCTGGGTTCTAGATCACCATCCTAGGCACTATACATTTGATTTTGTGTTGAATCGATTGAGGTCCGGGAAAGAACAATTTTATTTAATTATCTCCTGTATACAGACATTGTCTGCAGCATTAGCTTTCTGTGTTGTCAAATAGCTATGGCCACAGTCTATAGGAAGTGTTCAGTCGCTAGTTTGTCTAATCACAACCTCGATATTTTCCCACGCTTAATACATCTTATCAAGGTAAATGATGTTTACGCAGTAGACAAGGTTAATTGCGGGTGCTGCAACATCGCTTTCTTACCGCGCACTGACAGATTTTCGACGATCGTTATGGTGGCATTTAGCCTGAACGGTTCAGGGAATGGTCAGCATCTGCAGTCAATACATAGCTGTTATGCGGCACAACGTGGGCCGTCGAGAATCACACATCGTCGTACTGCTCGCACCTATTTCTAGGGGGTCTCCTCGTACCTCTCTCATCGGTTCCCGGTATGGGATGACAAGCTATGTAACTTCTGGGGCCAGCGACTGGTCGACTAAGTCTCCGATATGGCTGCTCTGTGTTCCTATGATGTAGCATAAGAACACAGACGCTCACATTCAACATAGTCCGGTTTTAGCCGCGACTTGGGCCATCCGTGGCTGAAAAATCATGTTCGCACCTTCGGGTTATGATAACCCGATGGTTATGATAATCATGCTACGGCCCACATTCAACTCATGGCTGTGTACGATATGCATGAAAATCGCGGGCTGTTGCTATGTGCATATAACGGAGTGATCTGGCGTCCTGAATTCGATTGTCACATGCTTTGTAGCTATGGATCACCGGTGTTGATTATGTGATCGACTCTCGGGAAGATGCTACGGCAACCGCCCAAGGCACTCACTGCGTAATCTTAGCAGGTGGGTTCGAGCACCTGAATGGCTGCGGTGGAAGTAGGGTGGCCTTTTTTTTTCTTTTTTTCAAGGTTTTCGGTAACAAGATTCTGTCTCTACAGATGGAGGCTGAGTTGAAGCTGAACTCGATAGACGCTGGTGAAGCAGCAAGCTCGACTAGGAGTAAGGAAGAGCCGCGGTTGAGGCATTACCAAGCCTACATGGGGGACGATCTCACGGCATTAATACCTGCAGCTGGTCGCCGGTTTATGTGGGGTTCGGCAGCGGATGTGATTGTGCATTTTTGGTTGAGCCTCACCTGCTGAAGCTCAGCTATCGATCTCGTCTGAATTTCTAACTTCGATGTTTTTTCAATAGTGTTGCGTTAAACCAGATGAAAGTAGAGTGTTTGAGCTGACACGAGCTTCGAGTCGCTGAAACTAAACGATATTCAATGAATAATATTCATTTTGATTGGGATTATTCAACCTGAATGTCTGTACAATGATGCGTACTAAGCAGCTGATCTCACGAGCATCCGATACCCGATATCAGATGCATACTCGGGTCGTGTGACTCGGCGGATATTACTCGCGAAGTCCCCCGAGTATAAACAGCCGGTCGCACTTACCAGTGCTGATTCCACGTAAAGGGATGTCATTATCGTGACCGTTCTGCACGGATTCGGACTTAGCTGTACTGCACTTCCCGTGATAGCAACTTGCTATTAGCAAGGCACTTTAGACAAACCGTTGTGAACTGTGAGCTGTCATATGCAGCCGGCATAATGCAGGATATTCATCGAGTATCCATGACAAACTAGCTAGTGGCTT